AATAGGAAGGTTTATCAAGAAATAGCATTAAAACGGCTTTTAAAAACATACTTCGTGTAGGCTATATTGTCTAAAAACAAAACAATGCAACAATGCCCATTTTACTTACTCAGACCATGCGTTATTTGTTCAGGGAAATTATCAACGTGGTCTGGTTAAAGATGCCCAGATAAACTTTTAAAAATAATGTATTATTTTTCAAACGTTTTATTTTAACTTGTTATTTAAAATGTTTTAAATGCAATGTTAAAATGATGGTAATGTGAATGATAAAATCCTGTTTTTGTTTTTTATCGTGTAATCGACTATTGTTTTCAGTGTCGACTAGTTGGAGCTGTACCGTTTAGTCGACTAGACCCGCACATCCCTAATATTAATATGCATATAATCTAATTTGAATATGCTTCACAATCAAATGGACAATCAATACAGCATGTAAAACTGTAATGTAATGTTCCTGTGGCTCAGTGGTAGAGCATTGTGTTAGCAGCGCATGTAATGTAATGTTCCTGTGGGTGGTAGGTAGAGCATTGTGTTAGCAGCGCAAAGGTCGTGGGTTCAATTCCCAGGGAACACACATACTGATAAAAAAAATGTATAGCCTGAATGCACTGCAAGTCGCTTTGGATAAAAGCGTCTGCTAAATGCATACATTTATTTATTTAAATTAAACATTTTAAACCAGAGAACAGCTCTTTGATCAGGTGAGTTCAGCCAGTATTGACTAGTAGTGATCGATCGTTTCATTCGATTTCAAACAGTTCATCAAACGCCCCCTTAACCCTGAGTGTCAGATACTGCTTAAGAGACAAGACAAGTAAAAGCTGATTTATCCTTCCCAAACCATCAAGAAACTTTGATGTCCCAACATCTCAGTATGAAGGCAGCAATAATGACAGTGAGTGAATGCAGAAGCCCAACAGTCCACAGCGCATCATTTTAGTACAAATGCAAATGAGCTTCACGAGCAGTTTGCCCTTTCTGTCATTACCAGAGCCTCGTGCACACAGAGTCTGGTCGGTAATATGCCACCAAACGAATTCTAATGCTTACACAAAGAGATGTGTGTCCACTTATCCGCATGTGGAATGTGACCGATCGCAGGTAGAGAAATGAATGAAGAGAGAAGGAATATCAGAGGAACAAAGGAGCATGAGCAGGGCTATGTGGTGAGGATAATAACTACGGATACTGACGCAAACAGCAGCGAAGATGAAAGGAGTCGGGTGGGTGGAAAAGTGGGGGGCAATTAATACTCCAGAGGTCTAGAAACTTTGGTAATGTCATGGTGATGGGAATGACGGGGGGAGAAGCGCAGTGAAAATACCCCCTAGCAGGGCTGCAGAATGAACTCAATAGAAAACTCATCGTCTCCCTGCAAAACACTGAACAGAGAAGCTCACAGAATGTTAATCATCAAATACACAGGCCTGTTTTCTTTATATATAAACATACAGGCCTAACAAATCTTTTTAAATAATATTACAAATATTTGATTGGATGAGCAACATATCTATATCTATCTATCTATATATACATATATAGGCCTATGTGTGTGTGTGTGTGTGTGTATACATTAGTATACATTGAACAAAAATTTAGATTTGAACAAACCTAATTTAAGGAATTAAACTTTAACAAGTTGATCATTATTTAAATTAATTAAAATTAGTGGTCGACCGATATTGTTTTTTCCGATCTTGGAAAGCAGGGTGGCCGATGGCCAATATAATTTTATTTATTTTAATTAATATTTAAGAAATTTTAAATCATTTGAAAATGAATTTAAAAATAAATGTGTAAAATAAAAGTAATTTTAATTGTAAATTTAAAGTATTTTTCACAAATAAATAAATATTTAATAAAATGCGTATTTGCTGAATGCTGACGGAAAACGAGAAAGTATTATAATGTTTGCCTTTCTATTACTAATAATATAAAAGCAATCGTTGTAATACTTTTTTGTATACGTTTTAATTCCTTTGTTTAACCGTTAATCTGATTATTAGACAGAACTGTTAATGACGACAGCGAACAAGAGGGAGAATGTGAACACTGTGTGCGCAGGCGCTGCCGTTCTCAGCGCCGTCAAAATAAAAGTCTCGAACGCATCGGCCAAACAGAAAAACTTATCGGCCAATGCCGATATTTGAAAAATGCAAAATATCGGCCTTGGCGATATATCGGTCGACCACTAATTAAAATATTAATTAAGCCCACCATTATAAAATTATGCAGCACTGTTTTATTTATTTCTCTCTTTTTGTGGCTAACAACAACAATAATAATATATTATATAAATTAAATATAAAATAAAAATGTAAACCAGTTATAATTAGTCATAAATATTTCCCTGTTGAGCTGATTTACTACAATATTTTTTAATTGAAAAAATCATATATTTATTTAGGGCTGCACAATATATGAAAATAAAATAACAGTAAATGCTGCTCCAGGATGCTGAAATACCATATCATGAGCTACACATGTGTAAATAATGCCGTGCTTCACTTTGAAACCTAAAGCCTATATTTATTTGACAACAAACCGCCAAAATAAAAGATAGAAGAATAAAAGTTTAACATTTGAAAAATTAAGAAATTAAGATTTAAATAGTAGGACTGTCATTGTAGAGTTGTAATATATAATAATTTGAATTACATACTTTTTATTTTATACTACAACAGTATTATTACAATATCACATTTTTATTTAATAATAATAATAAATGTTATTATTATTATTATTATTGAATGAGTCAAAACTAGTGGGAATCTGAAAACTCAAATGGAAAGACATTTAAAATCTGTTCACTTTATTGTTACTGAAAGATTCTTATAAAGTGTATAAGTGTGAACACCCAAGTTTTGCCCAAACAGCCTTAAAAGAACGAGTCACAAAATCTTCCCATTGTGTGAGAAAAAATATATACATCACTGAGTAAGAAAAAGGTCTTGTAATGTATTCCCAAAGTTGGGAAGTGGGCAAACAATCCAACATAGCATATTGATGAGCAATGCCTAGCCACTTCCTGATGCAACTCAAGACAAACACACCAAACAGAGAGAAACATGATTTCTATTGGTCATTCCTTCAGCGGAGCACTGGGAGTGGGAGGTGGGGTGTAGAGGACTATTAATGTTTCATAACGGTGGGGAGGTTCAGATTAGGACAGGAGATGAAAGGAGTGTTTGGGTGAACGGAGTAATGAGAGAAATGAGGAAAACATCGGTGACCTCTCTGCTCTGAAACGATCGGCAGCCAAACAAAGACGGCTGATTTTCTCCATCAGGTCACTCGAGGATGAAGGCAGGTGTGCGACAATCTTCCACAAACACATCATGTACATTTCTCATGAGGAATCCTTCTTTATAGATGCTGTGGGTAAAATTTTTGATGTTAAAGGGGTGGTTGACTGTTTTTTTCTAGGCTTGATTGTGTTTATAGGGTTCAGTCTAACATGTGTTAATGCTTCGTTTTTAAAAAACACTTTATTTTTCACATAATTTACCTTTATTCTACACCGCTCTGTCTTCTCCTATAAACATGCTGATACTTTTAGATACGCTGTTATTTGTAAATGCTACTGCTTATGTTAGCTTTTTATATACTGTTTTATCCTGGTTAAAGCTTTAATACAGCATGGCAACTGTATGCGTGTCCATATTTAACGCTTCTCATAGCTATGTGAAAAATATCTGTCTGTCTATACAC